TCAACTCCTTAAAGATTGGAAGGATGTTATAGTCGATCCTATATATAAGGATAGTCAGGGACGGATCATATCTAATTGCCGACTTGTCAGTCTAACCAGCATAGTCACTAAATTACTTGAAAAGTTAATTTGGGTTAAGTTACCAAGTCACATAGATTCATTCATGCTCATGCTCAAATAATTTGCTTATTGCGATAGAGTATTGGACAGCAGCTCCACATAGCGGCCTGTCTGTCGATCTGATATTTACAGACTTTTGAAAAACGTTTGACAAGGTTTCCCGCTTAGGTCTTATGCAGAAGCTCTCGAGTTTCGGAACAACAGGGGCTGTACAGGAATGGATAGGAAACTTCCTATGTGATAGCAGGCAGGGATTGAGGTTTAGCAGAACGCTATCCGCATGAAAGCCTGTTAGATGTGGTGCACATCATGGCACCATCATACGTCCCCTACTTTTCCTTCCCTACGTCAATAAATTGCCGCCATTGGTTGGGTCTTCGAAATTATTGTTTACGGATGATGTCGAAATTCGGAGAACAATAAGAAGTAAGGCTGTTTATTTTGATCTCCAAGCTAACCTGGACGAATTAGTTAGATGGGCCCAAGGTTGGGGCTTGGAAGTCAATTCTAGGAAGAGTGTGCTCATTCACATGGGACACGGTAATAGTTACCATCATACTATTAATGATACATCTCTTCCATGCGTTCAAGAATATAAAGACTTAGGAGTGATAAAAGGTCACGACTTGAAAACAAATACACATTGCATCGCAGCTGTTGTCAAAGGTTTTCGTGCTTTATGGTCATGATGATGTCACAGGTATTCAGTGTTTGACAACGCTTCTACCAGTAACACCTTCTAATATATTTCGTTCCCGCCCAGAGAAATCAAAAGACAGAGTCGAGGAGATCGGAAGAGTATATTTGGCGATGACCAATATATCGGAATTCTCTGATCTAATCTGGCTAGCGATTGCGGTTGATGTTGAGCACGGCGTTACCACACGTGATCTGGTGCGGATGCCTGACCGAGCGCCTTCAGCTAGGTGAGTCCACTAAAACATATGGTCAGCATCCAATGTCGAAAACTTAGTGCTATTTATTTTGGGGATTTATTTACCGCTACAGATCACTCCCCCCCTAGTGGGGCAGTGACGACCCTAAGACGTGGCCAGCCAGAAGTTTAAACCCAACGAGTTTGTCGTTGGTAAACACTCTTCTGATAGCTTACTAAATTTAGCAGCTTCTGGTCGTCTTTCCTTACTATATGGGACGGAGGTACAACATGGTAGAAAAAGAAAATGTACAATGAAAATTTGGGATCCTCATAAACGTCATCGTTCTTTTCCAGCCGTCCTGGAAAAGAAAAAAGAAAATGTAAGTGCATGTCGAAAATACACTCGTATGTGCGTAAAAGCACAATGTCGGCGGAAAAAAAATGGAAAATAAACTCATGAACACGTAATAGCGTTGAAAAAAATTGTTTTTTTTGTTGTTTTTTTTAAATAGAAATAAAAATATATAAGCATATTAAAATTGTTTTTTTTTTTAAAAATAATATAAAATGTCGAGAAGTGCCTTACGTGCAATAGTCGTTTAAATGTTCTGGAAATCTCACCCTTCTTCCAGAACGCGTCGTTTTAAGTTTATTTTCGGATACTGTCGAAGTATCATCGTGTGTGTTGGTTGTCGGATGAGGTATTATAAGTGTCGGAGTCGTGTCGTTCGATTGTACCGAAGGAAAATCCACGTAGATAGGATTTCCTTCTAAATACGCTGCTTTTAAGCGATCGATACTGATGCTATCGTTGGTTCCGTTCTTATCGACTATATAGTACTTAGATTCACGTTGAAGAACTTTGAAGGGTCCTTCGTATGCTGATTCGAAGGGTCGTCGATGCGAGTCTCGACGAACGAAAACGTGTGTACTATATCGTAAGTCAGGTTGAACGAAAACATCAGTTGATTGAGGTCGAGTGGAAGCAGGTTTAACTGAACGCATTGCGTTTGTAAGCCTGTTCGTGTAGGAGGTTAGATCCATGTTCATTGAAGAGGATGAAGGATCCACGAATTCTCCTGGAAGTCGAAGTGTCGTACCATAAACGAGTTGAGACGCAGTGTATCCAATGTCAGCTTTCACTGCATTGCGGATACCTAGTAAGACGAGTGGAAGAGCGTCGGTCCACTGTGAAACGTTTGCAGCTGATAGCGAAGCTTTCAGTTGTCGGTGAAAACGTTCTACCAACCCGTTTGCTTGTGGATGGTAGGCGGTCGTTCGGAATCGAGTGATTCCTAAAAGTGTGGTCAGACGACGGAAAAGATCGGATTCAAACTGACGTCCGCGGTCTGTAGTGATGGTTGAAGGGCAACCGAAGTTTGCTACCCATCGTTCGACGAAGGTGCGGGCCACTGTTTCAGCAGTGATGTCCTTGATAGGTACTGCTTCTGGCCATCGAGTGAAACGGTCTACGCAGGTTAAGAGATAAGAGTATCCATTTGAATCTGGTAAAGGTCCTACCAAATCCAGATGAACATGGTCGAAACGAGCATCGGGAGTTTTAAACGAGCCTAAGGGACATTTATTGTGTCTGATAACCTTAGATTTTTGGCAGCTTACACAGGAGCGTGCCCACTCCCTCACGTCTTTATTCATTCCAGGCCAGCAAAACCTTTCTGCTATAAGCTTGATGGTTGCACGAATACCTGGATGCGAAAGTTTGTGCAATGTGTTGAAGACATTGCGTCGATAATGTTTCGGCACGATTGGGCGATCCCTACCTGTAGATGTGTCACAAAGTAAGGTTTCCTTACCTGTTCCCATCTGTTTGATGCGTAGTTTAAGTGTTGTGGACGATAACTCGTGCTGAAGATCACTGTCTTCTTTTTGAAGCTCGGCGAGTTTAAGAAGGTCGATTCCTTGGAAACTGTTCAAGGAAGTTATGCGAGATAAAGCGTCTGCAACTACATTGTTTGCTCCAGAGATGTGTTGAATATCTGAAGTAAACTGCGAAATGTAGTCCAGTTGTCGAGACTCACGGGGAGAGTACTTGTCAGAAGGAGAGCTTAACGAGAAAGTGAGCGGTTTATGGTCCGTGAAAAGAGTGAATTCACGACCTTCGATGTAGTGTTGGAAATGCCGTACAGCACAATACATAGCTAGGAGTTCCCTACCGAATGTGCTGTACCTCGATTCGGTGTCTAGCAACCTTCTAGAGAAAAATGCCAAGGGTTGCCAGGAGTTGTTAACCCATTGTTGTAAGACTCCTCCGATTGCCGAGTCGGATGCGTCTACTGCGATGCTAATGGGTGCTAGGGTGTCCTGATGTGCGAGCATTGTTGCTTTAGCAATCAGTTCCTTAACTGTGGAGAATGCTTTTCGTGCGGTGTCGTCCAAATTAATGGATTTCGCATTTCCACGAAGTTGGTCGGTCAGAGGTTTCATAAGTAATGCGCATTTGGGTATGAAACGTCTATAGAAACTTACGAGGCCGTTAAACGTGCGTAATTGCTTGACGGTGGTCGGTTCTGGGTAATCCAGAATGGCCGCCACTTTGGTCCTAAGAGGTCGAATGCCTTGAGCATCGATAGTGTGTCCTAGGAAGTCTAACGAGTCGGTTCCGAATTGGCATTTCTGAACGTTTACAGTTATGCCATGTTTTTGAAGTCGTTCGAAAACAAGATCCAGATGCTTGAGATGCGTTTCTCTGTCCGGACTCGCGATTAGACAGTCGTCAACATACGCGTGTACGAAGTTGAGACCTCGAAAAACGTCGTCTATGAATCTTTGGAATGTTTGAGCAGCATTCCTTAGACCGAAAGGCATTCGCAAAAATTCATAGAGTCCGAAAGGAGTTATGATAGCTGTTTTCGGTATGTCGCCAGTAGCCATAGGGATTTGGTTATACGCTTTAACCAAGTCGATTTTCGAAAAGACAGTTGTACCTTTCAAGGTAGCTGTCAAATCGTGAATGTGAGGCAACGGGTAACGATCGGGAATGGTTTTCGCGTTCAATCGCCGATAGTAACCAGTTGGACGCCAATCGTTGCTGTCCTTTTTAGGGACCATGTGCAACGGAGATGCATATGGGCTACTTGACGGTCGTATGATTCCTAAGTCCATCATGTGGTCGAACTCGTTTTTCGCTAACCTTAGCTTTTCAGGAGCTAGTCGTCGTGCTTTAGAGAATACAGGTGGTCCTGTAGTCGTGATGTGATGTGTAACATTGCTGGTTACACACGGTAGTTTCGGTTGAGTTTGTTGTATCCCAGGGTACTTATCGAGTAGTGGTTGATAGAGTGGGTCTATCATATGTTTAACTGTGACTGGGGATACTCTACAACCAGTAAAGGAAGTTACGCAAACGGACAAATTAGTGTTTCCGTCTACTAGCCTCCGTTTGCGAGTGTCGATGATCAGATTGTGGTGTTGTAGAAGGTCCATACCAATGATTGGCATAGAAACATCTGCAACAACGAAAATCCAGTGGATGGGTTTGCGTAAACCCACGTTAAGGTAAACGTACCTTTTGCCATACGTAGCGATAGGTTTTCCGTTTGCCGCCTGTAAGTTAAAAGCCGATTCCTGAAGCCGGTCGTTAGGATTTGCTGGGAGAACGCTAACTTCTGCGCCAGTGTCGACGAGGTAGCGAACTCTCGTTGTCACATCTGTGACGAATAACAGACGGCTATGTTCGCCGGCTACGGTTGCCGTTAACGCGTGCCGGCTTGGAAGTTTCCCGAATTGCTTTTCGAATCAGTCGGTTTCGTGCTGGGAAAATTGCAGGGTTTTCTGCAATTTCTGGAAAGCTTTCCATACTGGTTATGATACCAGCACCAGTCGGGGTTATCTGTCTCTCGTGGTCTAGAGACAGATCGCTTACGAGAAATGCTTCTACGTGGTGTGCGCGATCTCTTACGGTCGGTACGAAGACTAAGATAACGCGTGAGTGTGTGACATAAGTCGTTTATATCATTCTGAGTCGTTTGAGGTTTTTCTTTGACTAAAAATACCTCGGTAGTAGATTTCGTAATTTCTAAAATGCGGTCGGCAGATGCAGCTAGCTCGTCTAAAGCATTGTTCTGGAACGAGACCAGAACTGCTTGCACCTGTTGGGGAAGTTTTGACAAGAAGAGTTGTTTGAATAGGCCTTCGTCGAAAGTTCTTGGGCCTATTACCTCTCTCATCCGTTGCAACATGTCCGTCGCAGAACCGTGTTGCAGGTCGATATTGTTGAAGAGTTGATCTAACCTTTGTCGATCGGTTAGGTCTCCTCGTTTAAGAATCGAGCGTTTTAAGATTTCGTAAGGATCGGAAACATCACTAGTAAACATACTAGGTGTTACGTACCTGTTGAATTCGCGCGGTAGTGCCTTGACTACTGCGAGGAATTGCGCACGTGTGTCGATCACGCCGTGCTCGGAGAAGTCGGCTTCTGCGTAGCAAAACCAGGCTTCGATGTTGTCGGGCCAGAAAGGCATCAGTTGAAACGAAGGCGGGGACAAAGTCTTAAGCTTGAGTACTTTAGGTGTCTGTTCAGTCATGATGAAGTATGAAGTACGATAATGAACAAGGGGAAAATATATATATCCAGGAAAAAACACGAAAAAAAATCACAATGTTTAAAAAAGTTAAAAAAAATAAGGCAATGATATATAAAAATCCCAAAAAGGAACAGACTCACAGTTGCAATTAGGTGTACCAGATCACGTCGGTTTCACCAATGTTGATGTCACAGGTATTCAGTGTTTGACAACGCTTCTACCAGTAACACCTTCTAATATATTTCGTTCCCGCCCAGAGAAATCAAAAGACAGAGTCGAGGAGATCGGAAGAGTATATTTGGCGATGACCAATATATCGGAATTCTCTGATCTAATCTGGCTAGCGATTGCGGTTGATGTTGAGCACGGCGTTACCACACGTGATCTGGTGCGGATGCCTGACCGAGCGCCTTCAGCTAGGTGAGTCCACTAAAACATATGGTCAGCATCCAATGTCGAAAACTTAGTGCTATTTATTTTGGGGATTTATTTACCGCTACAGTCACTTCGCCGAGCACTCAAATGCTTTGAGGGGGAAATGTTTTGAATTTTATACCCCACCTATGTAAGACCACATTTAGAGTACTGTATCCAAGCAGCTGGCCCATGTCTGATTAAATATACTAACTCACTCGAGCGTGTTCAGAGTGTGGGAATAAAAATAATAAAGGGTCTTTCTAAACCCCCTTACGACGAGAGCTTAAAATGAGTAAACATTTTCACTTTATCGTATCGTAGGACGCTAGATGACCATATACTGACATTTCGTATCTTTAATTACGATTTGGGTAATAATGTGTCTTATCTTTTTGCTCCCTTCAGTACTAATATTCTCCGAGGTCATAGCAAGAAGATTCACAAACCACGATCTAGTAAGCTTAAAGTGTGGGTTCCGTTTTTCTCATCAAGTGGTCAATGACTGAAACTCCTTACCCGGATAAATGGTGAAACTTTTCAAGGAGAAGCCGGGGCTACAGTGGAAGACAAATTGATAGGATTAATACAGGTTGCCAACCTATTGCGGAGATTTTAATCTGAAGGTCATTGTTTGCAAAATGGCAAGTGCACTTGACACTAACCAGGCTGATGTCAAGCAGAATCCAGGGGAGATTCAAGACTTGACTGCATCTGTAAAAAAATCTATTATTGCTTTAACATAAATTAGATTTCAGTTATGCTCAAAAATATCCAGGAATCATTCAATACAATGAGTGAACAGCTCCTAGAAAAAAATATCCTTTTCCTAAAAAAATTCACTTTGAACTACTTTGTAACATCTATCTGTTAAAACTGTTTTGGTTTTCGAATCGATTTAGGCATTATGAATTGTTTTCTTATCCGCATATAGTACAAGCTAAGCGTTATCAACGTATGCTTACTACATGGGCTGTTACTACCTAGAACTCACTGTCAGTGTCCTATTCCACTCGAAATCCATCACACTTAGTAGCTTTTTGCAAGTTATTGAACGGAACCTATTTGTATCTTCGTATGACGAATTAATTTTACACCTGTTTTAAGTAAGCATTATTGTTATTATACAAAAAAAGATTCATTCAAGATAATAGCAATGTTTAGTGACTATCGCTAATTAGTACAGACTTATTCCTCTACGTTTCTGTCTACCCAACCTCTGTAGTTTCAGAAACTCGCATATCATCACAATGAAGACTGGAGTTTCTTTTCAAACCATCCAAAAGACATAATTTGAAGTGACGAACGCACTTTGGATAAAAGGGGAGATTGTTGATACTGCTAAACATCAGTGAACATCAAAACGTATGGTTTACTGGCTTAAATTCAAGCATCTGACCAACATGTTCTTAAGCCTGCTCCTAATATTATGCTATTTCGAATACTAGCCTAAGGTAGGAAGCAAAACAGTCCATATTTGCCTTACAAAGCTGTGTTACCCCTATTAAACTTAATATCAATGACACTCTTGTATACTTCGCAGTAGAGTGTTAAACGTAAACCATTGGCTTGAAAATCTGCTCCCCACTTTGCCTACTTTGGTCTTGTCAGTAGAGTACCATCGCCAGCTGGTACATATCAAATTTGTTTCAACGTTAAGTGCATATTTCTTGCATTTAAATCATTTCAATTGCTTCCTACAACCTTAATTTTGTATGGAACAGAAACAGTCGGGGAGTAAATTGATTCACGTTCAAAATTGCTAGGACACATTCTTTTTGTTATCACAGAGAAAAATGACGCTTAGACGTATTAGGTTCTCAATTTTTTATACAGTATGTAAGCAGTCAGTTCTAATCTTAGTTAACTTTTTCTCTCAGTAAAGTCATTTTGTTAGTGGTTCATTGATTAATAGGTGAGCTAATGAATTAGGAAAGCTAAAACAGACGGTTTTCGCGCATGGCTTCAGAATTCATTTTTGTGTATCTATATTTCTACAATATTAAGATCGAAAAAGTGATAATAAGCCTTAAAAATCTGATTAAGTTTGAAAAACACAACTCTAGCAGGTTCCATCATGCCTGTAGCTAAATACTTGATCTGTAAAGACTACTCACTAGATAAAAAATGGGGTCGGAATTCTAAAAATATCTCAACCTTATTCCTATATCAAACGTTTACTGTCAGTAGTCTTTGGGTGTAGTGACGATAATTCACGTGATGTCATCATCTTAAAACACCAGCTTTAATAGCTTGGATATGTGCTATGAATGTCGTTGCAACAAATTCCACTCTGTGCATTATTTGCCGACGCTGGGACTGGCTGAAGAAAGTCGAGATGGTCAGTTTATTATATTGTTCTAAGGAAAGCTGTACAGAACTGATAGTTGTTAACCCTTCACAACTCTGGTTGGAGTTCTAGAAATAGTGCAACTCAATGGCTTGAGACGTTGCCATGCACGTTTCAGAATAAAAGCCAATTGTGGTCCCGCTGTAATTTTCTGTTGCTTCATAAAAATGACGAGAAACTCTTTAAGTGAGAGAATTCGTTCTTGTATTTTTCTTAATTGAACTGCCTCTTCCACTTATTTTTGGTTCTCATTCACTAATTTTATATATTTATTGTTTTTCATAATACTCACCCCATCTCCACAACCTCATTTCCTTATTGTTTGGCGAATATTCCGATATCCATTCGTATCAATATTTATATGTTTAAATAAATAAATAAACAGTCAGTAGTAGCAATAACCGTCATTTAATTAAGATATGATTCGAAGCTAAGTAATTGGAATTAAACTAAGGAAATGAGTTACACTCCATCTGGATGTATATAATAATTATAAGACTATTGTTAGGCACAGATTCGTATACTCAACTTCAGGTTTTACTTTGTTTCTAAGGGCCAGTGTTAATATTTGGTTGTCGAACTGAATTAAATGAAGTGGCATTCAAACTTACAATAGTGTTTCATCGTTCAACTTCTATCACTGAGTCACCTCTCTATAGTTAAGTATTAACTATTGACATATATTTCAATAACATACAATGATTTGTTTATTGAATATCAATTGTGTTATAATAATCTCGTAAAAGAACTATTTCCGTAACTAATTCAATACTAGATGATTTATCAAAAAGAGTAGATGATGTTGAAAAGAATATTGGTGATATTATCAGTAGTCTTGATGATGATAGTAATGAATAATGATAAATATTCATTCAATAAACTTCTTCAATTTGATAAAATTGTAAATGACAATTATTGTTGTTTTCAACTTCTTGTATATGTTGTGAATTTATCTTTATTTTCAATGATATAATATTACTTATATTTAAAATTATAAGTATTCTATTTATTTATTTGAATACATAACTATTGATACAAAGGGGCACTGAATACATATGCACCACACAAGTTATCTGATTTGTGTGTGAGCTGTGATACTGCACGGGTGCCCATACCAAGGCAGGTGGTTTTCTTACGGAGCCATGCGTGGAACTTTCGACTTTAGGATCTGATCCACAAAGTAGTGGAGCAGCGTAAGGAGATGCAGTCCCATGGTAGCTAGTGATTAACAATAGGTTCATACATCATTTGTTTCCTTATGGTTTTGAAGCCTATATGCACCATTGGTTTGAAATGAGTTTTTCAACTCCTCTAGGTGGATCCTACACATCCAATAACCCGGTTAAAGCGCCAGACATTGTCTTTTTGTTCTCTCAATTTCGCAAACAACACCACTGCAGTGGCCAGAAGGCAGTGAGTAGGACTTTTCTGACAGTGGCCGTATACACGTGTCAAATTGAGAGTATTTTGAGAGGGAGGACTGACTTTCCCCACTCGGTCGTACCAGGGCATTTGAGGGCTTATTTGAAAGTTAACATTTTAATTGAACTAAAAAGAAGAAAAACAAGCTTTCTTTTATATTGTTTATTTTTCGAGTCATTTTATTTAAAGGATTACTGTACAAGGCTTTCAAGTAGCAAAAATTTAGATCATATATAAAAGATTTCATTTGGAATTGATTATAGTCATGTAGAAGAATAATCGTTATCAGTTTGCATAGCCTTCGTTTGATCTTGAAACGTTTGAACTTAAAAACAATGTACAATGAATTTGTTGACCTTACTCTATCTATGATTAACCTTAATAACTAGATAATTAGAGTAAATCGTTTGATATTTTTGTGAAAATTAATCAACTTAAGTTACTGAAAGCTATTTTACACATAAATCATCGACCGATTTCCGGTATTTCCTGATATGAGAGCAGGTTGGTAACTAGATCAGAGAATGGTCTTTTTATGAAGTCATTTTGATTGGTGGGGATTTATTGGCTATGATTCCCAAGATAAGCATAATATGTAGTTAGATACTTCGGTTGAAGCAGCTTACTGACAGTCCCTGTACTGTAGGTACATTTAGTTATGTAGCTTCCCTACGTTGAATTTGTTACTTTCAAGTTGTATTCATCTCGTTAAAAGATAGTTTGCATGGACTGACTTTTACTGAACAACGAAGGTATACGAAACAAACACTTTGTCCTGGCTTAAGATTTGTCAGGAGGGTTTATGACACTATAACCTCCAGACGTCCTAGCAAGCACCACAATGAGTCGTACTACAACATGGTCAATACAATCCGGTCAGGGGTATAAACTGTGTAAACACATTACTTACTATGCGACCATCAATCAGTATACATATTTCAGTTTTACAAAAACCGAGCGTTACCGGAGTAAGTCAGTTGTAATGTCTCTGACTATGGGACTGGATGACTTCGGTAGGAATCCAATGAAAGACATCAATTACCATATCACGGCAAAAATGTTCCCACCATCACGAAACTCATGTCCAATGACCATACCCCACACATATAGTCAACAAAATTCGATTTGCAACAAGGAGAAGACAGTGACATTGGTTACCACTCATTCAATGTTTATGCTTCTGTTTTACTTAATTTGTTGCGTACCATAAAAGTTGAGAGTTATAAAAGAGAATTATTAACCTAATTGGATGACTGTAAGAGTTCAGCATCAGGAATCAGATCTCAATGTGAATTAAAGTTCATCTACCAAAAATCATGTAAACAATTGCTCTATGTAAATTTACATCATAGTGAATAATTTTAATCCGAAGGGGTTTTGTGGAGATCTTAGTAGTTTTATGGTTAAATTCATGAATCAATCGAAGCTAGACAACCATGGAAAACTTGGAAACACCATTGGATGCAGGCTCAGCGCTCGCGTGCGAGACTGATGGGTCCTGGGTTCGGATCTCGCGGCGCGGGATCATGGATGAGGACTGCTGAGGAGTCCCATATTAGAATGGCCGTCCAATGCTCCCAGGCTTCCTATGGTGATCTAGATTCAATCGACTCATGAATTCAACTATAAAATAATTTATAGATTGAGTTATTAGGTCTTATCCCTTGGAATAATGACTTAAATCGATATTTGAAACAAGACACTACAGTATCAATTACCATACTCAGTCAGTGAAATAAATTTAAAAAGAGAAAAAACGAGAAAGGGACATGAAGAATTCAGAAGATTAGAATTCGGGAGAACACAATGAGTGGATGCACCTGCGACATTGCAAACGATTTTGAGCCATGTCACTCAAGGTCTAACCATCAATTGCTATCGTCTCGCGGATACCAACCAGATAGTCTACACTTACCAACATGTCTCAGACCACTTGTCAGTGACTTCATGGATTTATGCCATGTTTTGGTCTGGCTGCCCTTAACTTTCTTCCAACCTACTCCTACACCATAAAACATGGCATGCCGGTGGCTGGGCACACGTAACACATGTCCCACCCATTGCAACTGATGATTCACTACCTCATCAATTGATTCGCTATCCTTACCTAGTTTCCGTTTCCTAACAACGAGAAATGCTTCGTAGACATCTATGATCGAATACTAATAACCTACGAATATCCTCTACTCTTACCAGCCATGTTTCAAAGCCATAAAGTAGAACGGAACGAACTGCCGCATAGTAATATATATTATTCACATTGACATATTGAGTCATTTCAAAGATAATTCATTTGAAGCGTATCTATATAGTTTTATTCATTTTGTTTACAAGTTATACATTTACATCTAGATACTTTATATTGACTTACTACTTGAGATGAAACAAAATTTACTTTATAAATCAAATCATAAACAAACAAAAAAATTAAATAAAAGTGTCCTGTTAGAATCATAAAGTTGTCATAGTAACTAATTTACTTAAAGGGATAAACATGTTATACGTCTATTTCTATTCAATGTTTGTAACTATGGTGTATTAATTAGATAAACATTCAAAAGAAAAAAGAAATGATCATAACCTGTATATTAATATGAAGAAAAGAATGTCACTATGAAATCCTTTAATAGAATGGAAGTTTAAATGAAGTTGGTAAGGCAGTGGAAAAATCAATAAACAAAAGACCCCCCCCCAGGGTTTTCGAGATTTTTTTACTATGGTACATAAGATGAAGATTTGAATTGATTCATTGAATATACGAATCAATAATTTTGAAGTGAAATAATCATATAGTTACAAGAAATTTAGTTTCTGTTGTCACCAGCAGCACCACCACCACCACTTTATTTTATATTAAACCTCTTGGAATATGATTGCTAATCGACGCATAACAATAATAAATAAAGCAATAGCTACACCAACAGCACATACTGTTGCTGTATGATATTGAACAAATGATGTAGATTGTCTAATATGTTCATTAGATATACGATTATTATCATGATGATTTAATGTATTCATTGATTGATTCATTATTCTATGATGTAATCTATCTGTTTTTTGTGTTTCACTTTTATTCTCTTTACATGATTCATTAGTTTCTATAGTATTACTGTTATCCATAGTTTTCGATGATGTACCATCATCAACTAATGGACTATCTGGAACTTTATGTTCATATGAGTTTGTTTGTTTCATTGAATTATATTCCGGTGATTTATCAGTTATACTGGATGAAGATAACTCTTTAGTATCTGATTCATTTTTATTTTGTGAAGAAATAGTTTCAGTTATTGTATGAACTTGATTTTCTGATGAATCAACAATTTCTTTGCTTTGATTAGCCGGTGATAATGTTTTTGAAGTTGTTGGCTTAATGTTCTCATTGCTGTGTGATATATAAGTAACTTGAGTAGTATCAATAATGGTAGTAGTAGTAGAAGAAGAAGAGGAAGGAGATACTGTATCTTGAACAGAAGTACCTGCAGATTTTTCTTTCTAATAACCAAAAAAAAAATCAAATTTATTAGTAATGAATCCAGTTCGTGTTGGGTAGAGATAGGTATCTCCTCAGTACAATAGAAGATGGTCGCGCAATCTCGTGGATTGGTTGATGTTAGACATTAACACCGTTGGATGCCGGCTCAGTGGCCCAGTAGGTTAAGCATTCGCGCATGAGACTGAAGGCTTTGGGTTCAAATCCCGAGAGCGGGATAATGGAGTCCGATACTAGGACGAAACGGCCGTATAGTGCTTCCAGGTTTCCAACGGTGGTGTGGTCTAACATAAATTTGTTCATGATCTCAATCAAAAACTTAATAATCTGCACAACCCCTATACTGATAAAAAAAATAATAATAGCAACATAGCCGAAGCCGACAGCAACTGTCCACAATAACAAATCTGACTTCTGTACAATCGCTCTCTTCACCCTGACTATTGAAATAGCCAAAATTAGAATGTGTACTGAATGATGTTACACTCTTTTCGCTGTCAATGCATTTCTTTTTAACAGAAGTTTCCTCATCCTTCTTTTATTATTGCGTAACTGTTATTAATATCCGACTGCTTATTAAACGTTTCTTTCATTTCGTTCATACTAACATTATATTATGCAATCGATATATTCTATAGTGACAAACTCCGATTCATTCATTTACTAAGTTATTTAGACATATGCAGAGTTATGGTCTAGGACATTCTCTATTCTTGTTTAACTTTGTCGTTGACGTGCTTTCAGAGATAACACTTTCCTCATCTAAATTTCCAGGAATTGAACTTTTACCGGGATTCTCACTTTAATTTATTTGTTTGTTTTAACACATAGATATTGGTGCAAGGAGGCACCACATACATATGCCCCACACAAATCTCATTCGATATGTGTGAGGGCTGTGATACCGCCCGAGTGCCCAAATCGAAGCAGGTGGTTTTCTTAGGAGGCCACTCTCCGAGCCTTCGATCTGAAGGTCTGATCCACAAGGCAGTATAGCAACGTCAGGAGATGCAGTCCCACGGAAGCCGGTGACCAACGATTGATTCATACGCCATTTGTTCCCGCAGGATACTGGAGCCCATGTGCGCCATTGGTTTGGAATCCGGTTAAAGCGCCTGACATTCGCTTTTCATCCTCTCATTTTCGTAAACAACACCCCCCGCCATGAGAAGGCAGTGAGTAGGACTTCCCTGGCAGAGGCTACATACTCGAGGCCATGTGAGAGCATTTCGAGATGGAGAGCGGACTCTCTCCACTCTCGGCTGTACCAGGGCATTTGAGGGCGGGACTCTCACTTGTTGACATGGAATATGCCGATGACACAGTTCCATTTGGTGAAGACGCTGACAAAATGCAGAGCCTTTTGAATACTCTAAGCAACAATGCATACATGTTCGGGATGAGATTCTCTCCCTCGAAATGCAAAATGTTGCTTCAGGATTGGGTTGCATCGACACCTAAACTAATGATAGAGAGTGAAGTATTTGAGTGTGTCGACCGCTTCACCGACCTTGGGAGTCTCATCAGCCCTTGTGATCTAGTGTGTGATGAAATTTCAGCACGGATACAGAATGCTCGACTGGCTTTTGCTAACTTGCGTCATTTATGGCGTAGGCGAGATATCCGTCTATCAATCAAAGGACGTGTTTACTGCGCAGCAGTTCGGTCTGTCCTACTTTATGTCAGTGGAACATGGCCGGTAAGAGTAGAGGATAGCCGTAGGTTACTAGTATTCGATCATATATGTCTTCGAAGCATTGCTCGTATAAACTGAGACCAACGAGTAAGTAACGCAGTTGTTAGGAAACGGGTACTAGGTAAGGATGGCAAATCGATTGAAGTGGTGAAACTTCATCAGTTCAGATGGCTGGGACACGTGTTACGTATGCCCAATCACCGACTGCCTCGACGTGCGATGTTCAGTGGTATAGGAGTAGGTTGGAAGAAAGTTAAGGGTGGTCAGACCAAAACATGACAAAAATGTGAAGTTACTGACAAGTTGTCTGAGACATGTTGGTGGGTGTAAACTACCTGGTTGGGATCGGCGAGACGATAGCAATTGATGGTTAGACCTTGAGTGACATGGCTCAAAATCGTTTGCAATGTCGCAGGTGCATCCACTCATTGTGTTCTCCCGAATTCTAATCTTCTGAATTCTTCATGTCCCTTTCTCGTTTTTTCTCCTTTCGAATTTATTTCGATGGATTATGCTCCTTGAATAATATCTTCAAACACTAATGTTTCCGATTACTGCTTACACTTTTACTACCTCCACCACTACGGGGTTTGAATCAACAATTGTATGTCTGTGCTAATGTGGTATGGCAACTTGAACTGATGCACGAACGTACGAAGTTCTACGTTGTGACTGACTAAGTGTCTAGGACGTATGTCTGTCAATTCAAGTTGCCACAGTACATCACTACACCAAGATGGAATTATCAAGACAGGAGTCAGAGTAATAGTAAGAGAATCGATGGTAGTAGAAAATTATATGGACAGACAATATTCTTTGTAACTACTTTCATGAACGCTTCTGAATCATGATTCAAAAATAAATGAGAAGAAATACCTCTCGCTACTCTTACTAAGTATCATGCTGCAAAAGTCTGCTCTGTTCTACTTTATGGCTTTGAAACATAGTCTATGAAAATAGGAGACACAAGCAGGCTACATATTTTTGATCATAGGGATCGTTAAAGTGTTGCTCGGGCTACCTAGAACGACCGACTGAGTAATTCTGAGGTTACGCAGAGGGCACTTGACAAAAGTGGCAAATCGGTTGATGAGGTAGTGCATCTTCATCGAATGAGGTAGTCGAAACGTCTGCTAAAGATACTTAACTACCGCCTACTTCTAACCGGGATGTTTGCGAGTACAGGAGGAGACTGAGGGGGTATTTAACAATGGCCAATAAAGGTATGATCAATCCATGAAGCCGCTGACTGTTGGTTTGAGCCATAACAAGAGTTGCAAACTAGTGGATTGGGGTCGTGATTAATGGTTGAAGCTGTTGAGTAACATAGCTGACAATCGGTCACAATGACGCATATTTAATCACTATTTATCGTCTTGTCAATTTTGAGTTCCAGTATCTCTTCGTATACGTGTTTCAACTCTGTCTATCCATATCATATTCTCACAGTTTAGTCTCTCCCAACCGTTGTTGCTACCTTGATGTGATGGTCGGGCTTGTCTATCGTAATGAACCAGTCGAGCTATACTGGCTGCAACAGTCATTCCTCAAGGTCCTACCAAGCCAGACAGGTTGGTTGAAGAGCGGTAAGACTAAAAGCACCAAACCCAAGGTCCGAAGATCAAGTCGTACTGCCTACTGTACAGAAGTGTGACAGCAGTAAGGTGTTTCCTTCGGACAACCAGCATAACAGCGACGCTTTCTTCCCACAAGGAGTGGTGATGTTATAAAAGTTCGACCCTAACAATGTACAACTCGCCTTATCCCACGGACATCCGTCTCTGGCGGTAATGTTGCAACAAGTACGGATATAACACGAAAAGTACTCACGCAAAGGTCGTATGTGACCGACCTCGAGCAGCTGTATCTTGGACACTGCTCTTATGCTCTCAGGTCACTAACCCAATTCCCTTTTCGGATACCTCTAGAAGAACCTTTCCACGGTATGGGTAACCGGGAAGTGATAAACGCCCTCATACCTCTAAAAGCACTGAAGACCATTGTATTCTTAGTTTTGTCTCTTTCCTTATCATCCTTTTCATTATATTTATCGTACAATACTGATCAAATATTGCAAACTGAACCAATGCACGCTTGCGCTAGGTTTTACATTGATGACGTGAGTCTGTTTTGAAAGTAACAATATGTATAACCATGATATTGAAAAACATGTGTTCATATCCCATGTATGTTTCTTCATGATTCAAATACCCTGTCTGTTAATGAGAGCTAATTATTGTCAGTCAGTCAGCTACAACGTAGGACCAGGCACATCGGTCCAAGTTGCCATACCTCATTAGCACAACAAGATGAACACCGGATTCATAAAAGTAGTTCAGTCAATGATGGTAATATATAAAAGAAAGATTGCATATGAGGATATAGTACAGAAAGAAAGATTTAGTACGTAGAAGGAAAGATATGAAGGGATTTTAATCTCATCGTTTAAGGGAAGACATAGAGCGTATAGACCGACGCCATTGTGATCGATTATGAGCCATGTCACCAAGAGTCTCCAACAATTGGTTACGATAGTCACGCGTACCTCAACCAAGTAGTCTGCATCTTCCAACATGGCTCAGACTAGAGGTTAGTGACTTCAAGCACTGATGCCACGTTTTGGTTTGGCCGCCCTTAACTCTCTTTCAACCATCCCCAACACCGGCTAGCATTGCACGTCGTGGTAATCGGTGTTCAGGCATACGTAACACGTGGCCCAACCATTTCAGTCGATGAAGATTCACAACCTCTTCAACTGATTTACCATCATTCCTTAATACCCTGCGTCTAACCTCATAATTACTTACCCGGTGATCCCAGCAGATGTGAGTAGTATTTCTAAGGCATCTGTGGTCAAATACTAGTAGCTTACGAGTGTCTTCTACTCTTAATGGCCATGTTTCGCTACCTTAAATTAAAACAGAACTGACTGCCGCGAAGTATACTCGTCCTTTTGTTGATAGACGGATATCTCGCCTCCGCCATAGGTGACACAAGTTGGCAAAAGCCAAACGAGCTTTTCGAATCCGGGCTGAGATTTCGTCAGACACCAACCCATTAGGGCTGATGAGATTTCCAAGATAAGTGAAGTTGTCAACGCGTTCGACTACTTCACTCCCTATCCTTAGTTCAGGTGTTAACGCAGACCAGTCCTGAAGCAACAACTTGCATTTAGAGGGAGAGAAGCGCATTCCAAACATACTGGCATTGTTGCTTAGTGCTATCAAATGATTCTGCATTTTATCAGCGTCTTCACCAAACAGGACTATGTTATCTGCGTATTCTAATTATTGTGAAACCGAAAGCCTTGATTTTAAGAAAGAATAAGTTGCAAGAAATTTGAAAAAGATTCACAATATTATGATTGATTTTGACATTTTCTCGCACAACAATGACCCAACTTTTCCATACAATTGAGATACGCAGTCAATGATTTCATGGAATGGTCCCATGTCTAAATTTGTTAAATCTCACTTTTTTAAAGCAGTTCAGTCTTTTTCTGTTCTCAGTCTGGCATCTTATACCAGAGAAGACAGTACTTATATATATATATATATATATATATATATATATATATATATATATATATGACAATCATTCTAGTCAATAGCTTAGATTAGCTAACTAAAGTTGTTATAATCAGATTAAAGGAAGTGTTTCGTCCCTTATTTCTCTAAGATACATCATTCGGATATATCACAGTAAAACAACTATTCTGAAATTCATCGATTTTTCCAAATCAAGCATTGTAAGCAAAGATGGATAGTGGCTAGGAGTGGAGCCCAGGAAGCGCATTTCGTCCAATTTCGGACTCGTCAGCTAGATGTACCTGCATCTGAGAGTTGATATTCACCTTGGGATTCGAACCCAGTATACCATTCGCTTCATACACCATATCATGTTATTCACTTAGTTTGGAAAGATTCAAGTAAACAATACCAAGTGAATTTAACTATCCAGTTGTGATAAAACAACAACAACAACAACAAAATTTACTAACAATAACTTACTATTATTAAAGATGAATTATATTGTATTCTATCTATTTTTACTTTCATATGTAATACATCATCATTATTAAAATTTGCATTAAACTGAAACATTCTAGTTTTTGTTGTTTATTCTTATCTACACTTGATAGTGTAAAATGATTGAATGAATTTAAGTAGTATATGTGTTTAATAATATTTTCTATCGAAATATTGATCCTTGAACTAAACTATTTTTGTTTTCCATCAATTCACGTGACTTGATATAAATTTTACAGTTTTTAAACGAAGAAACAATAAACTGATCAGGATCTCTCTATTACATATTGTTTATTGATTTATTTGAACATATAAATATTGGTATAAAGGGGCATCGAATACATATGCGTTAAACAAGTCACTTGATTTGTGGTTGGGCCGATTGCCCAGGTCGAAGCAGGTGGTTCTCTTAGGGGGCTACAATCGGAGCCTTCGATTTAGAGGTCTAATTAATTATAGTGAAAGCCAGAGAGACTTATGCCAATCTGGGCCATCTTTGGTGCCTTTGTGTCGTCAGTCTGGCTGTAAAAGATCGGATATACAACGTGTCGGTGAGAGCAGTTTTGCTCTCCGAGTTGAGCATGTTGGATGACTCTCTGCGTTTGATCACCGTTTTCTCCGAAAAATTGCTGACGTACAATGGCAACAACATGTTAACAATGTAGTGGTTCGGCATCATGTGTTCAGGCACGGCGATAATAATTCAATCATCACTATTTTGAAACATCGACTTCGATGTGTTGGACATGTTCCACGAATGTTGTCCCAGAGAATTTCACGTCGTGCATTATTTACCGACGCTAAGACTGGTTGGAAAAATAGGATAGGTGATCAGTGTATGACATGGTGTCGTGGTATGAAATAAAGCTGCAAAGGACTGGCTTGTGTCGGTCCTTCATGACTCCCTAATTGCGGACCTAAAGATGGTGTAACACAGTAGCTGGAGACGTTATCAGATACGGTTCGGAATAGAAGCCAGTGGAGATCCTGCTGTAACTTTCTTCATAAAAAATGGACGTAACTTCTTTAAGTGGAAGAACTCGCTGTGGCTGTACTTTTGCTAATTGAACTGTCTCTCCCATTATTATTATTTCACCGTTATACACTAATTTCTGTTTATTGTTGTACGTCTTTTTTCTTATACGCACCTTGCATTCTTTATCTTTCTACATTCTCATTATTATTGCATGGCGCATATATATTTGATGCCCCTTTGTACTAGTATTTATGTGTTCAAATAAATAAATAAATTGGTCTAATACACAAGGTAGTGGAACAATGTAAGGAGATGTTGTCCCGTGGTAGCCGGTGACCAACAATTGGATCATACACCATTGGTTTAGAATTAGAGTTCTCCAACTTCCTTAAATGGATCCTCCATATCTACCAACCCGATTAAAGCGTTGGACATTCGCTTTTCGTTGTCCCAAGTTCGCAAACAACAGTAATGCCGCGAGAAGGCAGTGAGTAGGACTTCCATGTCAGTGGCTGCATACGCGCGACCATGTGAGAGCATTGCGAGAGGTGTAACTGTCTCTCACCACCCTCGGCCGTACCAGGGCATTCGGGGGCACAGCAAGAAGGGAATTATAGTCATAAAAGTTTTAGAGGTAGAAATTAGAAATGATTCCAACTTTTCATTCGTTAGTCTAGTATGAGTATCGCTGAGGTTTTTACATACAGAAATTCCTTTTTTAAATATTGATCATTCTTGTAAGAGGCTTGTAGTGATTGTTGAGTTCCATACAGCTCTTACGGTAGGAATAATCATGTGTTTACTAGCGACTAATTTCGAGAGGTAATTCACGGAATTCTAGTAAGAAGTAGTGGCCGGTGGAGTCCATCCATTTCCGCTGCAAGGTACTTACCCATCAACAGCATTGGAGACTGATTGCGAGAAATTAAAGATGTAGACAGCTGGATGCTCACCCAATTTTCTGAGGATTAGACACATATTACGAAACTTGGGAGTTCTGCGTTCGCTTCCAGGTGGGGTCGTGGATATACATTGCTTAATTATCCCGTGCTAAGATTAAACAATTGTTTAGCATTCAATGGTTACCGAACTAAGGTCACTTTAAGATACGAAGCATAAAATTAATAATTAAGAGACAAAACTAATCAGTTAGACATTATCAATTCAACTCACTTCTCGAGTTTCTTTTAACCATTCACTAAAACTTAAAGGTACACGTTCCCCACTAGCTGTACCACTATCAATAGTCGAATTTAATCCAGTCGCTACTGATGATGATGAGTTTGCATTCATAGGAAATGGCGATACAGGGTAATATACTGGAAAACATAACCAATATGCAATTTGTGGTGGTATATTCTCATTTCGATAAGGATACATATATGACGGAAATCCAGTCCATAGATATGAATTCATATTTTCAGCAATGTTAGCAGTATTGCTTTGAGTAGGAGAAGATAAAGAAGGCATTGCAAATGGAGTAGTAAATGAAGAAGTGGACGGTGTTAACGATGGATTAATTAGATTCCCAGATGATAAGTTCGATTGTGATGTAATGCCGGAGAGAGAATTTGTATGATGATCATTATTGTTAGCAGTAGTAGTAGTAGTGGTAGGTGTGTTTGAATTAGTGAATGCTTTCTTATTCCTAAATTCTTCCTCACTCTAAAAGTGGAACCAAGGAAAAAAAGAAGAAACAATGATCATTAATTAAAGTGAACTGATCAATTTCATTCAGACTTAATATATCCAACTGAGTACAGACAATTGATATTAGCTAATTGACATAGAACTAGGAAGAAATGACGACGTAGCATTAAACCATAAAATCATTAGTTGCTGTTGAAGTGACCTTTGTTGATACATTCAAATTTGCGTGATACTCTTCATGAAGTAGGCGATGATGATGTTTTCTAAAACGACAATAAAATCTCTGCAATCGAACCGTTTAGAACAACAGACTCGACATCAAATACATCCATCACTTGAGCAGCAATTCTTTCCATCATATTGAATACGAAGTCTACTTAGGAATTCACACTTAAGCACGTTATTCTAATCAATAAGTTGTTATATAAATAATACCTAACTATGGAATCTGAAAAGTTGCACTGATCCTGAAGAGTAGACTTTAAGAGAAAACTAAAACAAAGTCGTTTTTCTTTGTGAACAACTACTGATAATGATTTTATGAAGATTACTCTAATTTAGGGATACTATTCATCTGACGACTATAACCACATGGTGAAATAGTCCCATAAATTTCAACCAAATAGTATACAGACCAAAAGTCAATAGCTTGATCGATTGATAACGCGTCGGAAATTGGCCGCTCTAAGCTTTATTATACCAGAAACTAGTATTACAGTTTAAACTACTGCGGAGGGTAAGTTATTCGACAAAAAAATCCAAAATTCATAGACAAAATTTCATTTATTACCTCAAAAAGAACAAGAACGAAGATTGATGCAGAATAATACATGGATTCATTCTATTTCATTAGATTTTCATCAACTGCTTACGGTAAGCCAGTAACAACGGAGAACATCGTACGTACGTACATCGGTTCGAGTTGCCATAGCACATTAGCACAGAGATGCAGTTGTCAATACAAATCCCGTAGTGGTAGAGGTAGTAAGAATAAAAGCAGTCAACTGCTTACAACCTATTTAACATTTTACAAATCAATGTTATTACACATATTGACATAATTAATACATACAAGGGTGATTACAGATGTTCATGTGTATCATGATGTAACAAAGATTCGATTAGGGTCAATAAGGTCATAAGAAATCGTTTGTTTCAGATAAATAAAGTTTGGGAGGGAAACTGCCAGAACAACCAACTAGTGATTAGAACTCATGGAGTTCATAAACATTAGACGATGGTGTAATTAAGTAACTGAAAATAGATTAATGGTAATGAAGAAAGATATGAATTGAAGAAAACTGATAATGATGTAGTCAAACTTCAGAAAGAGTTGAAATAATGAATGATGCAATCAACAAAAGTGGGGGTGTAATGTTATCAGGGTAAAGGAAGATTTATTACTACCTCCTTCTGGATACATGGATCTGGTTTTAGACATCTGATTGCTATCGCTTCTGCAAATTTCAAAAGATTGGAGTTTGATTGTTTATTAATCACCTTGAATGACGTCAGTGTATCTGTGGTGTGTACTGCTTATATTGATATAAGTAGTATATGACGCGAGTTATAAAACGTAATGTCTGACAGCAGAAGATGGGAGAAGATCAAGAAAGGAAGTGCGGGAACACAATGCAATTTGTAAGAAAACGCATGAAAAATGAAATATGAGACAATGGATTGATGCTTGCAACAGGAACAGTCCAGGTTGATATGATGGATTGATATTTTCCGAATTAACGATTTGTTATATGGTTTTTCTAGTTTACCAAGTAACTCTGTAATTCTGTGTTAAATACATTTGCTATAACTGTGACGGCAGCAGATTAGAGGATAGCGAATTATTGATCGGACCGAAGACGCGCAAACACGTAGAACGGCCTAGGGTTCTGATTGGTCCCGCTCCCCTGTCTAGCCCAGCCAGTTGAGTCCAGAACGCAAGTCTCAGCGTCGGATATATGAATCACTATATTTCAAACACACTCTGTTTATATACTAATCAAGCAGACCACATCGTACCATAAAATAGAAAATAACATTGTACAATATTGACCAGTAGGAAAGTGACACGTGAAATAAGTACTGACCAATAAGAAAATAATACCATCTCCAAGTCCAAGAATAGCACTGCCGAATGCTTTTAATTCACTTGGCCTTAAACCTTTTGGAATATGTTCTTTGAATCGGACATAGGCTCTCCTTTCTGTTCTACCAATGTAACTACTTCGGCAAATACATGTGAATTTGTATACACTTGGTGATAACATGAAAGGGATACCAATCGACCTTTGATTATGTTAAAGAATATGCTGTTTTGGATAGGACAATCAGTTTAGCTTTAGGATAAGTTCTTGTCAATGCAGTTTCTAGTCTCATATTGATTGACCCTGTGACATCATCATCTTTGAATTTAAGTTGAATAAAAATAGGTTTTTTACATACTGCAGTTTCTTTGAGTGTTTTATCTTCACGCATTCCATATGTCTGAATAAACTTCAGTGGGTATCCGTTATTCTTTAAACATCTTTTCACATTCATTACTTCCTCTTCTAGTGTATCGGCAGTACATATTCTTTCTGTTCTATGAAGAAGTGTCTTAACGAGTGCCTTTTTGTAACTGATTGGACAAAAGCTATTGAAATTGAGATAAATCCCATTCCATGTTTTGTCGTTAGACTGAACATTGAAGTGTGCCATCTTTCATTCGTTTTATTGCGATATCGAAAAAATGGAAGTAGTTTTCATTTCTATGTTCCGTAGTAAACTGGATATTTGGATGGGTTTCGTTGGAAAGTTTCGGCACATTTGTTGGATGTTGTTTATTATTACATACGATGAAGGTGCCATCAACGTACCTCGAATAATACACCATTTCACCAAACGCTCATATGAGCTTGGTTCTTTTGAGGTTAGCTATGAAAATATGTGCTACACCATCGGTTTGTCGGTATATTATATTGTTGAACTGGAACTGGACATCTTTTGTACACATGATTAACAGTCGTTTGAATTTTGATGCTGGTAGAGGTAGGATGTCAGGATGTTTGCAAATTATGTCTATGGTCTCAAGAAGTGTTATTTTTGTAAACAATGATGTAATATCAAAGGAAACCACAAACTTACCAGCAATATTTTTGTGGTTTATGCTGTCAGCAAATCCAAATGAATCCTTTCATGCATATGTCGCTAGTCGTTGACGAACTGGTTCTAACGTATTCGCTAACCATCGTGCAACTTTGTGATAGGATGAATTCACCATTGATAGAATAGGTCTAATAGGAATACCTTGTTTATGTATTTTTGATAAACCATACATGTGGGGTAAACGGGACCCACGAGGTCGTACGTATTGTAAGTAGAATTATCGATCATTATCTTCTTCAGAATTCAAACGACTGTTAATCATGTGTACAAAAGATGTCCAGTTCCAGTTCAACAATATAATATACCGACAAACCGATGGTGTAGCACATATTTTCATAGCTAACCTCAAAAGAACCAAGCTCATATGAGCGTTTGGTGAAATGGTGTATTATTCGAGGTACGTTGATGGCACCTTCATCGTATGTAATAATAAACAACATCCAACAAATGTGCCGAAACTTTCCAACGAAACCCATCCAAATATCCAGTTTACTACGGAACATAGAAATGAAAACTACTTCCATTTTTTCGATATCGCAATAAAACGAATGAAAGATGGCACACTTCAATGTTCAGTCTAACGACAAAACATGGAATGGGATTTATCTCAATTTCAATAGCTTTTGTCCAATCAGTTACAAAAAGGCACTCGTTAAGACACTTCTTCATAGAACAGAAAGAATATGTACTGCCGATACACTAGAAGAGGAAGTAATGAATGTGAAAAGATGTTTAAAGAATAACGGATACCCACTGAAGTTTATTCAGACATATGGAATGCGTGAAGATAAAACACTCAAAGAAACTGCAGTATGTAAAAAAACCTATTTTTATTCAACTTAAATTCAAAGATGATGATGTCACAGGGTCAATCAATATGAGACTAGAAACTGCATTGACAAGAACTTATCCTAAAGCTAAACTGATTGTCCTATCCAAAACAGCATATTCTTTAACATAATCAAAGGTCGATTGGTATCCCTTTCATGTTATCACCAAGTGTATACAAATTCACATGTATTTGCCGAAGTAGTTACATTGGTAGAACAGAAAGGAGAGCCTATGTCCGATTCAAAGAACATATTCCAAAAGGTTTAAGGCCAAGTGAATTAAAAGCATTCGGCAGTGCTATTCTTGGACTTGGAGATGGTATTATTTTCTTATTGGTCAGTACTTATTTCACGTGTCACTTTCCTACTGGTCAATATTGTACAATGTTATTTTCTATTTTATGGTACGATGTGGTCTGCTTGATTAGTATATAAACAGAGTGTGTTTGAAATATAGTGATTCATATATCCGACGCTGAGACTTGCGTTCTGGACTCAACTGGCTGGGCTAGACAGGGGAGCGGGACCAATCAGAACCCTAGGCCGTTCTACGTGTTTGCGCGTCTTCGGTCCGATCAATAATTCGCTATCCTCTAATCTGCTGCCGTCACAGTTATAGCAATGTATTTAACACAGAATTACAGAGTTACTTGGTAAACTAGAAAAACCATATAACAAATCGTTAATTCGGAAAATATCAATCCATCATATCAACCTGGACTGTTCCTGTTGCAAGCATCAATCCATTGTCTCATATTTCATTTTTCATGCGTTTTCTTACAAATTGCATTGTGTTCCCGCACTTCCTTTCTTGATCTTCTCCCATCTTCTGCTGTCAGACATTACGTTTTATAACTCGCGTCATATACTACTTATATCAATATAAGCAGTACACACCACAGATACACTGACGTCATTCAAGGTGATTAATAAACAATCAAACTCCAATCTTTTGAAATTTGCAGAAGCGATAGCAATCAGATGTCTAAAACCAGATCCATGTATCCAGAAGGAGGTAGTAATAAATCTTCCTTTACCCTGATAACATTACACCCCCACTTTTGTTGATTGCATCATTCATTATTTCAACTCTTTCTGAAGTTTGACTACATCATTATCAGTTTTCTTCAATTCATATCTTTCTTCATTACCATTAATCTATTTTCAGTTACTTAATTACACCATCGTCTAATGTTTATGAACTCCATGAGTTCTAATCACTAGTTGGTTGTTCTGGCAGTTTCCCTCCCAAACTTTATTTATCTGAAACAAACGATTTCTTATGACCTTATTGACCCTAATCGAATCTTTGTTACATCATGATACACATGAACATCTGTAATCACCCTTGTATGTATTAATTATGTCAATATGTGTAATAACATTGATTTGTAAAATGTTAAATAGGTTGTAAGCAGTTGATGAGAATCTAATGAAATAGAATGAATCCATTGATTATTTTGCATTAATCTCTGTTTTTCCTCTCTTTGAAAAAAGAATTTAAACGTTTTCCTAATAGTCAGTTGACGTTGTTGTTAAGCGTAATTTCGTAATAAAACCTTGATGTAAACCATTATTATAATTATTCCACTCTCCTTCAGTGAAGCACAGTGTATAGCCTAGTAGGTGTATACATTGGTTGAAGTTGCCATACCTCATTGGCACAGCGAGATGAAAATGTCAAAGTCTCAGAGTAGTAGGGATACTAGAAGTATTAACAGCGACAGAAAAGACAGTAAAGATACAGTTCGAGAAATAAATGTAAATTGATGAAATAAAAAAAACTTTTACAAGGAATTAATAACTTAGAATATAAAGGAAGATAATGATTGAACACACCTGCGCCATTGTGAATGATGTTAGCGATGTCCCGCAAAATCTCTAACCGTTGATTGTGATGGTCACGTGGACATCAATCACGTGGTCTACACCTGTTAATATGGCTCAGTCCAGTTGTTAATGACTTCATAAATCGGTGCCACGTTTTGGTCAAGCCATTCGTAACTTTCTCACAATCTACTTCTACACACGACAACATCGCTCATCGAGGTGGGCGATAATTGGGTGAGGACTTACTACCTCATCAGTCGATTTTCTATCTTTGTATGTTGACCTATCTCTAGCGCTGGCTAGTGCTTACTCGGTGGTCTCAAAGTACACAAGCGATGCTTTGAAGGTGTAGGTAAAACAAAGGAATGACTATGGAAATTATGTAACAAAAATGTGCATAACAACAACTTAAAAAACAGTCCCCAAAAGTTCAACTTTTTCAATATTCGTCCCGTTATAACAAAAACAAATGAATGATGAGAGAAGCAAAGAAATTACCATCATAGATATTTGAGCAGCAGCCTCACTGGCTTCTTTATTCATTGATGATGAAGCTGTAGTTAAGGGCAGAAGTAAATTGTTAGTTGGTCCACATATACTGCAAACATAACTCTGTGATCTGGAGTAAAATTAAGCGAAGTACAATAATAACAATATTATCTATGATAATACCAATTAGTATGAGATATTACAAAACTGTGACTAATTTATTTATTTACTGAGTATAAGTTTAAGTATTTCTCCAACGGAGTTGGACGTTTTTCAATATGAAAGCCACGATGTTACTACTCTTTTGTACAAGATAAAATGAAGTGGAGTGGGTTTTAAACTTGAGTCAAATGGTTAAAGATTGAGCGTTGTGATTGCTAAGCCAATACTGATAGCCTGAGAGATTATAAGCATAATAAGTGTCTGCGCTAACAGGTTATCTCAAGGTCGAATAGTAGGTGAGAAATTAAAAACGAGATATACTATTAGAAGTCTTTTATACACTTGCTTAAGGTCTCAGCCCACATGTGTTTGTTTGGGTCGGAAGTACAAATGATTTGTGAATTGTCAATTACAGTTTCTGGAGCACTCGTCAGTTTTCTCACTCATATTGCCTGTTTGACAGGGGTATAGAAAGTGTGACCACCGATTGGAGGGCAGTGACTTATTGATCGGACCAATGACGCGTAAAACACGTGCGAGCAGCCTAGAGTTCTGATTGGCCCTGCTTCCTGCCTAGCCCAGTCCAAAACACCAATTCGAGCCTCTGGGATATGAATCATTATATTTCAAACATAATGAGTTTATATACCAATCAAACAGACCACAACATACTAATAAAATATCAAACAACATTTGTACAAGAATTAGCCAAATGTGGCTGTGAATGAGGGGGATAATAATTAATATACTGGGTATAACTCAAGAATGGTAAAACGAATAGTAATAATTTATGGGTCAAAATAAAGCTTATAATAAGAGGAATATGAATATGCATAGTTTAGTTACTTAATAATTACACAATAGAAATATACGTTTAGTATCGGTCCATCAATAGATCCCAAAATTTACCATTCATTATTTTTGTCGGGACATAACACAGAGTAACAGCTTTTACGCTTCAATGTCTAGTAAAGAATGATTTTATGGACAGATTTCCATTTTATTATGGATTATGTTGATTACTTTCATATTTCTACAGTTCATGGGTCTTATTCACATACAACATGCCTCGGTAACTACATATCAGGTTACTTTAAAAAAATTTATATTTTCCAGAGGAACACCAACCTAGAACAGGATTTAAAATCTTAAAGCTGATCCATTATTTTGTGATAAATTGCTGAAGAGATTCGCCTTCAGGTTATAATGAACTCACCTAGATTAAAAATATATTCTTAACATACTTGAAGTCTATATTAACATTGACTAAAAAGTGTGAGTTTTTAATTAGAAACTACAGCAGCAATGGTCTTGTAATTCGCCTACTTTTGTAAGTCAGAAATGCTCGAATCTACAAAATTTACAAAATATTCCAAACCTAATTGTAACTCATTTTTGTATTGGTCGTTTGAATCTTTTCATTGATGTTTAGGATTGAAATTGATCAGTTTCTTATTGGTATATAAGCGTTTTGTGAGGATTGCCCCGATATTTCCTGGAGTCACAAGCATTATAAGCAGAGATGGATGGTGGGCAGCAGTGAGGTCCAGGATGCGCGTTTCGTCCCATTTGGGACTCGTCATCCGAATCTACCTGCATCCCAGGGTTGATGTTAGCTCCGGAACGCGTGTCCTGGATTCCATTGCTAGCCACCATCCACTTCTACTTATAACTGTTAAAGACGGAGGTTTTATTTCGGACAGTACATTAACTGAAGTGCTGCTATGCGGTTTACAGACAGTTGACGTCACCCTGTTGGTTACGCTATATTTTTAGACTAATTCGCTACGTAGAGTCCAGTGTGCCTGACCTTAAATGTAAGGATTTGAGATACTATTTTTGCTTAAACAGAAGTAGGTGGGCTAGGATTCGAAGCCAAGACCTGTTCGTTGGTATCCAAACACCTGAACAACTGAAATACCATCCCACTTTACATAATTTAAGATTTCCTCGCAAGAGACATGAAGGAGAAATCGCATTAGGAGTGAACATTTTGTTAGGCTAAGAGCACGAGTGCAGAGTCCAAAAGAAAAGTGCTTGAGATCATTAATATTTGATGAGGCAAGTAACCAATGCAAATTATCTTACACACAATAACAAACGTAAGATCAACTTGACAAATGAGCAAAAGAACGTTACACACTTGCGAGCTAATAGTTGACGTTCTTCTTTTGGTTGATTAAGTGAGCCGATTGCACCGACACCATGAGTAGGCATGAATCCAATCAATGCTAACAATGCAGTACGAATAGACCATGACGGTCTCCATGATTCGGGATGATATCCTGAAATACTTAAACATATTTTTCGATGTATTTCGAAACGGCCATTTGGCTGAAGAGAAAAAATGGTGTGCCAATAAATATTTAGGAAAATCTTACATGTAATTAAGAGAACCGCGATGCTATCGTAACAAGAAATGCTTGATAAAATAATATATCAAGGAATGTATCACAGGAGGTAAAACAATAATGTGAGGAAATAAAGAGCGAAACTCAAAATAATACCAAAAGAAATAGTTTAAATGAAAACATTCATTTTATTTTTACTGTTTGTCGTGTTGAAAAAACGCAAAATTAAATTACAACACTGTCTGTAATAGCCTCCACTATGAGCTACATTTGAAAACATCTCAGGATATTGAATTATATACTTTATAATCCAAATAAGGCTGTTATTCGAGCTAAAACTGTCGGTTCGACAAAATTATTTGTTACAATGCTACACTATTAATTAACTGTATCTTTACCTTTTCAACTGAGTTGTGTCGTTAAAACTCAGTGTTTGATGATGAGAGCTACTGAGAAGTCACCCAAGAAACGTTCCCAGGCCACCGAAGAACATGTTTTGAAACGATTTGAATGATTGACGAGTGGTTCCCATTAAGTCCAACTACAAGTTGTTGAACTTCAACATCATTTACATGGTGCTGCTGTTGAGTATAAGTAATGTTGGGATAACTTAACCCATTGTTACCATGATATGTCGTGGAAATTGTTAAACTTCATAGTTCAAATAACAGACTGGTCCCAGTAACATAACCACTGGGTTGATAGTGGTTCTGATGACACGGAAGCATGATGGCAGTGCCCAAGGTAAAACTGCTTGGAACTGGTAGCAGAGTGGTTTTGTAGGTAGATTTCGATGTGCAAGCTCCATACTTTTACAGGCTTATCATCAACACTACAAATTCGTGGAACAAGGTGAGTTGTGAAAATTTTCGGTCGACCATCTATTGATCCCTTTACTCTGAGAAAAAACCACTGGAGGTACTAGTTATCCGTGTTTAATACCCTACTGTTATCAAACTTTAGTATGTTTAGCGGTATGACTTAGTCCTAAGACCTTAGATTTGCCATTTTCTGGCTTACGGCTATTTAAGACAAATTTATGTCAACAAGACGTACTCTCTCCAATGTTACTGCTCAAATTTTTTTGAAGACAAAATAGAATTAATGAACTATAAATAACTATTGATGTTTTAAGGGAATAGAGAGAAATATAGTATCTACATACTCACAGGTAGGGAATAAAATATAATCAATGAACCTACAATCGCACCAAAACTCGAACATTCTGTGATTTAGATTTTGTACAATTTGTGTAGCATGATGGAAGTCAAGTAATCTAAGGATAACGGGTATTAGACTTACATCAAAATGATTAAAACATAAGTTGAGTGTGCTCTTCTTAAGATGGGTACTACAACTAGCAGTACATAGTGGTAAAAAAATTTCGTGTCAAATTTAGCCAGTTCAGCAGATAGACTAAGTGACTGACAAACTGAAGACCAACAGCTATACTGTCTGAAGGTTTAGCAGCCACAACCAGAGCGTTTCTGTTTATTGATATGCTACTTATAGACTCGTTGAGATTAAACTAGCATACACATGAACGTGGTTTTAAAAGCAAACCCAGTGGCCGTACACTTAAACCTTGAAACGCTAGAATGTAGAGTAAACATAGTTTTGCAGTCACTTGGAGCATCTAAAACAAACGTGGAAGTAAACGACAGTTTAGGGATACTTACAGTTAACAATACGATATTTGGAGGCTTCATTGGGTATTCTGAAGGCAAAAGAATTCTTCCATGGTATAAACCTCCCTGAAAGTCAGAATCTTCAGGACCTCTTATCGTGAAGTGCCACTCAAACAGATTATCCTAAGAATTATATTAGAAAATATAGAGTCGAACCTCTAGAGGTTTCGCAAAGTATAGTTCCGTGGGCTCTGATAGTTCTTGTGCTTCTTTCATCAACCGTTTGACAGCTAAGAACATAAAACTGATAAATAATAACAAGCTAACCTGGATTTCGCGAATTATACGTCACAACCATATTTTCAAATTATTGTACCGATTGTGGCCTTAAATTTAGAACAGTTAAAACTGTTGTGCTCGTTCTTTGGAATTCGACATATTTTAATGGTAATCAGGAGGAAAGTAATTTGACTTAGTATTCAAAGCACAGGATAAGAGTTCGGGTTTATTGTTTTGTTAGCAAGGTTGTAACTACTTGAATAACTTTGCGAATGTCTATTGTAAAGTAGTTTATGGTTATGTGTTCTTGTCTTAACAATACAAGGCGGTTGCATATGTTACATATATTAAGATATTATAAATTCAGCCTCCGTTTACAATAATCTGACTGAATATGAGAGTTAATAAGGGTTGTCATATTTTGATGCTAATTACATTTATCAGAGCCCATGAAATCACCGGAATCAGTAGCTGTCACGTCATTAGGCGGTTGTTGTGTTTCAAGCAGATGACGAGAAGAGCGGGGCGAAATAAAAGGGGAGGGGTTTTAGAGAAATAGATAACTTTACAATAATGTGCTTGTAAATGAAAATGATGACTGGAAAAATAGATGATAAGAGTCCAGATGCTCCGAAGCGGAGCTAAAGTAACACTACTAAAAAAATACAATAGCTTCTCCTTATGCACAAATGTACTAACTAGTTATTCATGGATGCCGAAAACGGTCTTTAACTGTACACATTTGTCGTCCTGAAAAATCCTTGACACATTCTTCACAGTTGCCATGGTTCAACGGTGGAGTATTTTTTAGAGTGTATGTGATTGGACGACTCAGGACAGAAGTGTCAAACAAATTCAACATATTGACTACATTCTTTGACAATCATCACAACATAAACCTACTAAAACTGAAGACTGTTTATTAGCACAGGCTTTACCCGTGAGAAATCCAGATATCGTTAGAGGAACTCGAAAGTATTTTGGATATACACTCAGTGCCTTACGAAAAGGTTGGAATGTCAATATTCAACGCAGATTTCTTGTCTACTCCTGATAATGTTTTGTGTTCAAACGATCGTGTTTTTGCCACTCCTTCATTATGTAATTCTGTCCTTAAAAATCTTCATGGTGAACATATAGGTGTTGAGAAAGCGATATCCTTGGCAAAGCACAAATGTTGGTGGTCGGAGATAAATGTCGTACACTAAACGGTTGTAGAGGATGTCATAAGTCGAAAAGTCATCCTTCAAAGTGTACTCTGTAGCCAGTGTTGTCTGAGGCTTGGCAGAGTTCATGCAGACTATTGTGGTCCGTTTCTCGGCAAATATCATGCGTTTGTTTCAAAACTTCACAAAATTCTGACCTCACAACCGAAGCATTAGTAGTTTTTGGTTCGGTGGGGGTCCCTATGTTTCTACTGATTGATAATAGTTCTTAATCTCCTACAGACACAGTCACTACCTAGATGAAAAATAGAAAGTACAGGCATCTATTCACTGGTCTTATGCACCATCGTTTCAATAGTCAAACGGATTATTTTGCCAAACACCGGAGACTGCCATTAATTCGATTACTGTTTCAACATTTGATGGACTGGAGAAGGGAGTGTACATATTTTTATCGAAATATGGAAATGCTAAACATTTTGAAGCGAAAGAAACTCTGTAGAAGTTATTAAAAGGAAGGATTTTTCGTTCGAATATGAAGTGTTTAGAGTCTACGGAAGTTATACATTATCGTGGGAATAATCTTGGAACAGCCACTGAGTTTATGGTGAAGAATGTAGGAAAGTCTATAGTTTCAATTCTAGATATCAATTATTTAAGTGTACACAACCAACATGTTGACCAGATACAATTCCAGGAGCCAGGTGAGTCCGTTGCAATTTCGATTAATTATTTCAATACTGATAAATGCATTCTAGAAATAGTGTTATTTAAGGAAGGTAGAATTAGATGAACATAAATGGACGTATTATATTTGGGATTCGTAATCAGCGGGCAACCAAGTACGAAAGAGTTATTCGTTCGTATAAATACCACAACTGTCACAGCTTACATAGGGATCCAAATTTTTTAGTCCGTCGATTATACCTCTTCTGCTTAGGTTCATCGCTTGTCTGTCCAACTGTGTATTGGATGTAGACTCTGTATGATCTAGAATGTAGTCATTAGTAACAGAATCAATAACCAAAATTGGAACATACTCATTTGGTTCCTGGAATTGTGTCTGATCAACATGTCGGTTGTGTATATTTAAATCATTGATATCTAGAATTCGGACCATAGATTCGCAAGATTATGGTCTAAGTTCGTTGTTAGAACTATTTCAATTATAGACCTAATCCTAAAATTGTAGTATTGCCATGGTATGAAAACCTAATTTATAAGATCTTACATGAGAGTCACATCGTTGTCTACTCTTACTCGTTGTATCGTAAGAGTCAGAAATATTTTTGGCGTTTCTAAGGAACACACCTAGACTGGAGGTAGAACAATATATTTAACATGAACAGAAGAGATAAATTACACAAGAATGATCATGCCTACAAGGCTAAACCACGCCATCTGATTGAATAATGAAATATTCCCACCCTCTCCCTTGTTGGCCCTCTCTTTGAGTTAAATGTTGGATATTTTACTTCCTAGTTATCTCACGTTTAGCTTTGAGGATTGTGCGGTTATGACCAATACCACTACAGATTTTACAACCCTGTCCTCCCACTCGAAGTAACGTCGGATCTTCTTGTCCTAAGGATGCACGTGATGTGTCTTTATTTAAAACATATTTATCACATTGATCAAAAGACCTACTAGGAGTGACTTGATAGTGAGGCCTCCTTTCTTTGGTACCTTGATGGGCTGCCTTTTTTTCAATCTGTCGACACTTGTTTCTACTCCCAAATCTTCCTGAGCAGGACGTGGAGCATGTTTGCAATTACCTCCGTATCTGACTTCATTGCTTCAGCTGGTATGTTGTCAGGTCCTTCTGATTTATCATTCTCAATGTGTCTGATGGTCATCCTCATTCCTTCGATCGTTGATGGAGTGACGTCGATAGGAAGGTTTATGTGTGCTGCATCTAGGTCTTGGGGATCAGGTGAAGCTGGTCTACTCAAGAGTACCTTAAAGCGTTCCGCTCTTCTCTGGTTTTTGAATATCGGTGATTGTCTTGCCTTCTTTGTACTTGATTGATAATTCTGGTTTACCATATTTCCGTGTCAGTTTATTCGTTGGTTTAATATTTTCTTCTCTTAAAACTTTATCCTCTGTCCTTTCTAGGTTTTCTACGTACTACTGCATATCAGGCCCTTATGCTCCTCTTCACTTGCTTGTTTGCTTCTGTGTATTAAGCTTGTGCATTGACTTACTCTGTTCTTGTTCGGCTGTTGTTAATTGCTGTTTTCTCGTTCTTGCTTTCGTGAATCTTGCCTACGTTTTCGATATAGATCCATTGCTTGTGATGATGCTTTTGCAGATCAGCACCTCTTGTTACGTTGAGGTTAGTGGTTCCTTTATCCATTCCCATTTTTCTGCCATGGTAGTTTCTTCTTCTGCAAGTAAACCTTGTAAGGCTTGGGGTCTGTTGTTGAGAGTAACCTTGATTTCGTTGAGCTTGTCAGTATTTCGGAGGAATTCCGTATTGAGCCTTTGTAATGTTGTTTGTCCAGTTGTCCAATGCATCTTTAGCTTCAGCATCATCATGGCAGCCATGAGGTGATAATCTGAAGCTATGTTAGCCCCTCTCTTGATTCCCACCTCTTTTATTGGCCTTGCGAATTTTTTTAGTGATACGGAGATGATCGACCTGGTTCTCTGCAGTGTGATCCGGTGAGACCCATGTAGCTTTGTATATGCGTTTATGGGAGAGGATATTGTGCCGCCTGTAATCAATCAGTCAAATGCACATATAGTAACAAATCTCTCTTCATTCTTATTCCTTTTTCTTAATCCATGTCGTCCCATTATATCTTCATACTCAGTGTTGTCCATTCTGACTTTAGATTTTAGGTCTCACATAAAAATTGTTGAGTTTTTTTCGTGAACTCGTCTCTATGTTTGAATGCAGCCTCAAGTAGAACTGATCTTTTTTGTTGTCATTTCTATCATTGGTGGGTGCATGACATCAGATAAAATTATGATTTCCTTCCTATTTGCTTTGAAAGATGCTTTCATGATCTTGGAACCATGAGATGCTCATTCTAAAAGTACGTTTTTTGCTTCGTTGAACAGTATTAGAGCAACTCCCTGAGTGTATGGGACATTTTTCCCTTCGTGACCAGAGTACAGAAACATCTTTCCCGGATCTAACGTTTTTGGTCTGCTTGGGTTCACTGTGTTTCAATAATCTTGAGCACCGTCAAGTTGTATCTCCTCATTTTCGCACCTATTCGACTGGTTTTATCGCTCTCCCACATTGTCCGGACAGTCCATGTACCATACTTATTGTTGCTCTGCTAATTCGAAGAGTTATAGGCCTCGTAACTTCCGAAGAATCTCGACTTTTACCATAAGGCGCAATAATTATTTTTAGTGAATATCCTGGAGCCCCCAGGGCAGGGTTTAAATGGATTAAATTGTCTATTCTAGTTAGGGATTTTTGCAAGGTTATTTCTTATGGGCTGAGGTTGCTGGTAACATATCCAGTTTTCAACATTTACCTGAGCTTAGGACTGAAAGTAACCATAGTAAAGCTCCAGGGAGAGTTATAATTCAGATAGTCGTTCATATATTTGCTCAAAATTGACTTTTGAATCTCCATCTAGTGTCCACTTGTCGATTATCTAAATAAACATTCGGACGCTTAAATCTATAAGTAGTAAAATGACATTCAATCCAAAATTTATTTTTAATTTTCAATAATGTTATAGTTTTAGAACAACCTTGCCTCAATTTTTCATCTTTTATTGTTTAGTTCACTTCGTTTCCGTTTCAAACAATCTTCATAATCAGAAATGATAACGTGTTATGGTGAATAACCGATGTGTTTTCTGTACCATCAAAAATTTTATGTTATGTTTAAATCTACCATATTAATGCAATACAATTTCACGCTGAGTCCTTCGAAACTGAATTCTTGATTTGTCTCGTTGAAGTTCTAGACTTACTGGGATTAGTTCTGATTCGACAATCAAAGATGGATAGTGGCTAGCAGTGGAATTCAGGACGCGCGTTTCTTCCTAGTTGAGACTCATCAGCTGAATGTTCCTGCATCTCAGAGTTGATGTTCACTCCGGGCCTCGAACCCAGTTCCATTCTCTCGTGAATTAAGGCAATGTCGAGGCAGTACACACAGTACTAGCATATGCCAATAAAAGACTGATTGATTGAAGTCTTAAACCCTAATGGGAAGATTCAAGCAAACAATACTAAGTAAATTTATTAAAACTTTTTTATATTATTGAAAATTCACACCATAAAAGTATGGTTACAAGGACTTATTTTGATAAACAGAGTAAATAAAGCTTTTTTATTTTAAATAGTTGTTATTTTTGCACTTGATATCAAGTGCAATCTCCAATATCTTTATTTTGGTACAAATTTGTCTGTTTTGGGTAGATTTTGAGGAAGCTGTAATAGAAAGCTTTGGGGAAATTTCTAGATTCTTGTGCCATTTTCCCGAAATTTCCCCAAATTTTTAGGAAAACTACTAAATATCTTACAACCTTTTTAGGGAAACACCAAAATTTACCTAAAACCCTCCTAAGTTTCACCAAAATAGAGAGATTGTTATTATTTTATATGGTACAGAGTTGTTTTTTTGTTTAACTGTGAAGATCAGAATAAATAAGGATTTGAGATGATAGTAGACTAAAGCTTTTTACTACTGTAATATGCTTCAAAAAAGAAACAATCAAATCAAATGTAAACATATTAATTAACCAATAGAATGTTAGTGTATTATTAACCAATCACAGTCATTGAGATGTTGCAAACCAAAATAATTTCATTGGTAGATCTGATAGAAGACAAATTTCATTGGTTGACATATTTCTTAATTCATAAATTCAATATAAAACCACGATTTTGGTTCAGATCACGTATCTGGGCTTCAATTTCTTCGTTTGAGGTTAGTTGCTATTGTTGGTTTTAAGTCTTCTCTTTGTGATTAGTTGCGTAGTAATTAATGTAAATGCATTATTACCAAATTTATTGACTCTTGAATTACGAACTAGGTTTATGCTAACAGTAATTTTCGGTGAGACTATAATTTATGGACGACCTTTGAACGAATCTGAAGTGACTTTGAGAGTATCCACTTAATAACTAGTATCCAATGAGGGTTACAAACCTGTTTGAGTAATTAGAATTATGATTTACAATTGATGATTAGGGTTAGAAATTAGATTTAGGATTTTATTTTTTTTTATCACGAACTGACATCAGATCTAATGCCAAAACGGCATTTAACTAAATAGTTAAATGAATTTTGCACCAAAATCCAAGACTTGTTATCCTAAATCTGATTGATTTGTTCACAAATTATAGTTTCACTTAATTTTCAAACCTCACCATGATTTCAGTAGTATATCAAATTATTTAATTGAACTAATAAATTGTTTTGTGATTTAAGAATACTTTAGTGATTGTTCTTTTATCAAAAGTGGCTTGTGTGCAACAACAATCAACTATGTACACAAATATTTTATTGTCAGAAAGGGGTTTTGTGGAGATTGTAGTGATTCAATAGTTAGATTCATGAATCGCTTAAAGCTAGACCACCATGGAAAAGCTGAAAGCACTGGATAACTATTTCGTATTAGTATGGGACTCCTAGCTCGTGGAAGCTTAATCTCTAGACCATTGAGCAGGTGTTCAACGGTATTAATGACTAACTTCAACCAATCCATGAAATTGCACCACCGTCCACCATTTTCTTCAGTGAGACCGAAGGTTCTGGGTTCGATCGTGGATACACATTACTGAGGAGTTCCATACTAGGATGAAATGGCCGTCTAGTGTATCCAGGTTCTCCATGTTGGTCTTACTTTAATCGACTCATTAATTCAATTATGAAATTACAAATATTTTAGTTCATTACAGTATGATTGTAAAATATTTCATCATGATAGCATAGGATCCTAAATAAAAATTTAGTTATATGATACGCTCAAAAACAATCATGTTAATGCAAGTGATATACAGTGTAAGAAGGATATGGAAAACATATAAACCATAAGATATATTGTGCAGAATACAAAGGTTCTTTAGGGTTATATAAAAAAAAGTAAAACTAGATAGTAACTAGTAGTAAAGTGTAGGACCTAAACTTCATGCTTCTTAGGATATATCAATTGGATAAACCTAAATCTCAGCGATGATGCTCAAATCTGGTACCTTTTATTACAAATCAATGCGTTAACTACTTAACTATGGAGTTCATGCAACCACTAACTTATTCAATAGAGAAATATGAACCCTTTTAAATAAAATAGAGATCAACATTTATGAAAATAACCGAATTCCCATTCCATTCTTACAGAGAATCGTCTATTTATAGCAATCATTTATTTAAATACATAAACATTAGTACAAGGAGGCACGAAAATATATATGCGCCATATAAATTATTTGATTTGTGTGCAGGCTGGAATACTACACGGGTGCTCAAACTGAAGTAGGTGGTCTTCTTAGTGCCACACCCCAAAAACTTGACCTAAATGTCTAATACACAAGGCAGTAGAACAACGTCAGGAGATGCAGTCCCATAGTAGCCTGTGACTAATAATAGGTTCATACACCATTTATTTCCTTAGGATCCTGGAGCCCATGTGCACTATTGGTTTGAAATAAGTGCTTTTCAACTCCCATAAGTAGATACTTCATACCCAACAACCCGGTTAAAGCACTGGACATTCGCTTTTCATCCTCTCAATTTCGTAAACAACATCCGTGATGCGAGAAGGCAGTGAGTAGGACTTCTCTGGCAGTGGTTGTATGTACGTGGCCACTTGAGAGCACACTCAGCTGTAGCAGGGCATTTAGGGGCCATAGATTGATTAGTTATTTTGAGGTTAATTATTGTCCTCTCTCATTTAGAACTTATAAATTAGTTATATCCCAGGTCTACTATCATGTTCTTATCTAAAAGTATGAACAAAACATTAAACAGAACTTGTTCAAAATGTAAATTAAATTATAATTTCCAATTGAAGATGACATTTATTTCGAAAGTATATACCAAATATACAAAGCGAGAGAGTGTTAAATTCACTACTTGATTAACTCAGAATACGGTTTAGGACCATGAGACTTGAACGTTGATCTTCGCTGTCGCAAATCAGAACACAGAAGAAAAACTGGAGAAGTGTTTATTTGGTCAGAATCAAAGTGTACAGAAAATCACGGGTATTTATAGATATTAGCATTTGTTAAATCAACATTATATTTCGGCTAATCCGCTAAGAGACATATTATGCTACTGAACAATAATAGCATCATGCCACGTTGATAATCTAGAAAGCTCCATCATGTTCTGATTGGTTGGAAGTTTTCAGTTTGTTTAGGGCCTCTGGAGGATCCATTGTAGTTCTCGGAAGCCGACTCCGCAGAGAGCGATAGAGAGAGAGAGAGAGAGAGTCTTCCACTTGTAAGATTCACTTAATTTCGTACGAGTGATATAAACTTGAGTTTTCAACAGAATATTAGTCGTAGACATAATGTTTGTTTACTGAACGATATCATGTACCCTGGGATATTCTTAATTTACTAGTCTTTCATTGAAATAATGAAGTTAAAATATAATTTTTGTTGAATTAAAAATTGAAATGAAATAAATAGTTGTAAGTGAATATCAAATCGAGTGATATAAACATAAAGACTCCCTTCCAAATGCCCTAGCTGGAGAAAATGTGCTATGTCTGTCAGTCAGTTAGTCAGCTACAACGTAGGACCAGGGATATATATATATATATATATATATATATATATATATATATATATATATATATATATATATATATATATGGTAACGGTCCAAGTTTCCATACCTCATTAGCACACCAAGATGAACACCACATTTATAGACTTCATTAACTTAATGGTGGTAATATATAAAAGAAAGATTGCATATAAGGAAGATAGAGAGTGTATACGCCTACTCAATTGTGGTCAATTCTGAGTCATATATCACCCACAGTCTCCAACCATTGGTTACGATAGTCACCTACTTAAGACAGAAGCTATAAAGATTCAAGCTGACATTAGATTTTGTATTCAGAAAAAGGTTCTTAATGTCTCTATCGTGTCTTCTTTATCAGAAATCAAACCTAACAGACAATAATGATCAATTATATCTATTCTTTGTTAGTCCCTTTTCTTTTCTTTAACATTTATATGCATAAATTGATTATGTTGTTTCCTTAAACTTTGACCTACTTATTATGTAAGTAGATTCATTCACATATACTATCATACTATTCATTCACAATGAACACATTTGTTATTCACCATCAACGTGTACTTGCCAATTATGATGATGAATCACGTATTCTATTTCATTGTTATCATTGACTTCCGAATTACTTTGGTTAGTTTGTTATTTTGCAAATATGCATATATTTTCACTTAGTATGATTTGCTTGTATCTTATCAATTGACCAGTCTCTTACTTACTTACTTACTTACTTACTTACTTACTTACTTACTTACTTACTTACTTACTTACTTACTTACTTACTTACTTACTTACTTACTTACTTACTTACTTACTTACTTACTTACTTACTTACTTACTTACTTACTTACTTACTTACTTACTTACTTACTTACTTACTTACTTACTTACTTACTTACTTACTTACTTACTTACTTACTTACTTACTTACTTACTTACTTACTTACTTACTTACTTACTTACTTACTTACTTACTTACTTACTTACTTACTTACTTACTTACTTACTTACTTACTTACTTACTTACTTACTTACTTACTTACTTACTTACTTACTTACTTACTTACTTACTTACTTACTTACTTACTTACTTACTTACTTACTTACTTACTTACTTACTTACTTACTTACTTACTTACTTACTTACTTACTTACTTACTTACTTACTTACTTACTTACTTACTTACTTACTTACTTACTTACTTACTTACTTACTTACTTACTTACTTACTTACTTACTTACTTACTTACTTACTTACTTACTTACTTACTTACTTACTTACTTACTTACTTACTTACTTACTTACTTACTTACTTACTTACTTACTTACTTACTTACTTACTTACTTACTTACTTACTTACTTACTTACTTACTTACTTACTTACTTACTTACTTACTTACTTACTTACTTACTTACTTACTTACTTACTTACTTACTTACTTACTTACTTACTTACTTACTTACTTACTTACTTACTTACTTACTTACTTACTTACTTACTTACTTACTTACTTACTTACTTACTTACTTACTTACTTACTTACTTACTTACTTACTTACTTACTTACTTACTTACTTACTTACTTACTTACTTACTTACTTACTTACTTACTTACTTACTTACTTACTTACTTACTTACTTACTTACTTACTTACTTACTTACTTACTTACTTACTTACTTACTTACTTACTTACTTACTTACTTACTTACTTACTTACTTACTTACTTACTTACTTACTTACTTACTTACTTACTTACTTACTTACTTACTTACTTACTTACTTACTTACTTACTTACTTACTTACTTACTTACTTACTTACTTACTTACTTACTTACTTACTTACTTACTTACTTACTTACTTACTTACTTACTTACTTACTTACTTACTTACTTACTTACTTACTTACTTACTTACTTACTTACTTACTTACTTACTTACTTACTTACTTACTTACTTACTTACTTACTTACTTACTTACTTACTTACTTACTTACTTACTTACTTACTTACTTACTTACTTACTTACTTACTTACTTACTTACTTACTTACTTACTTACTTACTTACTTACTTACTTACTTACTTACTTACTTACTTACTTACTTACTTACTTACTTACTTACTTACTTACTTACTTACTTACTTACTTACTTACTTACTTACTTA